AACACAATCGTATTTTCTATTGTTAGTTTATAATTTAACTGTTATTTTTATTCACAGTTATTTAACACAACCAACAACTATGTTTAGTATTATATGAAAATCTATTATTTCTCGAAAAAAAATTAGTATTATATGAAAATCTATTATTTCTCTAAAACTTTTTTTGTGTATGTTATATGTTTATATCTTTTATCAAACTATATTATTTTGGTTAAAAAAAACCCTAAAACATAACAAAGAATAATAAGGAAAGTGAAATTGTATAACCAAGCAAATTAGTTGCTTCTTGATTTTCTAATCTCGTAAAATAAAGCTAATTTTTGTGCAGAAACAAAGAGCAATCTATACAAGTAATAACTACCTAGGTTATTTCTTATGCTACAATGCAGGTGAAACAAAAAAAATTGAATGTCAAAAAATTTTCAAAGGTGATTTTTTAAAAAATATTAAAATAATTATATATTAAATTAACTTGAATTCATTTACCAAACTTGTGCTCTAAATCATTAACTCTAATAGGTCAAATTTGACAAAAAAAAAAAAACTAATATTAAAGGTTAATAATTGATATATAAAAAAAAAGGGGAAGGGGGAGCGCGCATATATATATATTTATAATAAAATATTTATTAAATATCAAAAGATTAAAAAGGGTTTTTTTAATTAATATCAATGTAAGAATTATAATTTCTTGAAATTATTTAATTATTCATTTGTGGTATAAAGATTATTAAATGATGTCTATTACTCATATATTTTATATGTGGTAAATATATTGATTATTATGTTTTAATATTATTTTTGAAAAAATAATTATATTTTAATAATTTGAATATATATTTAATTATTAATTTGGATGCACATATAATATATATGTTGTATTTTGCTATAGTTTTTTTTTTTTAGAAAAACCAAAAATAAATCTTGTTTACCAATTTGAATATCTAATGAAATAAAATAAATTTTAAAAAAATTGTTTTGAACTTTTTCATCCTTATATATTCATGTTGTTTTTGTATATTCTTTTTTTCTTCAAAATATCCCATGAATCACCAAAAAAAATATTTTTTAAAAAATAAAAAATAAAAAATTTCAAAACCATGTAAGAAAACATAAAAGTGTAAAAAAAAAAAGGAAAGAAAAAAATATCAGATATGGAGGCTTGGCATAGGCAACTAGAGTTCTTCAGTTCTTCAAATGGAGCTTAGGCATATAGGCAGGTCATTTGTTCAAATTTGTTTTTTTAATAAATAAGCAAACGATATATCCTTTGGTTTTCCAGAATCTAACCACAGTTGTGATGTGTAGAAATTTGTATTTAATTTTTTTTTTATCTAAAAAACTATTTTCAACACAATTTTGCTTAAAAAACTTAATAAAAACCTTTAGAAACTCCAAAAACCTATTATCAACCCAAAAACCCTCTAACATGGTTTAAAAACATAAAATAAAATAGAAAATGATTTTTGTTTGTTAAGAAAGATTAAGGTTTGAAATAATTATTATCAAACTATTGTCATTGAATAAAACTTATTAATATTAAAATTAATTATTTTAGTAGCTAAAATTAATATTTATCGATAATTTTATCTCGTTTTAACTAGAACCGTGTTATCTTTTTCTTCTCTCACTTATGAGGACTAAAATATAAATAAAATGCACTTTTAGCTCAAATTAAAAATTACAAAAATTATAAGGACTATAACGGTAGGAAAAGAAAAGGATAAGATGGGGAAACAATATCCCCCTAGTTTTACATTAGTCAGGAGCTTCTCATTGTTTTACATTTTAGTTCTTTTTAATTGGATTTTTTTCTGTTAATAATTATGAAGGATGCAATTGAAAAACAAAGTTGAGGACTGAAACTTTAATAAAATTTTTGGCTCTACTATAGATGTCTATAGTGTTTTAAGGAGGCGTTTTAGTAAATTATCTCTCTTTTCTCACTTATAAAGACTAAAATGTGAACTTTTGGTTTAAATGTGAAATTATAAAATGTTAGGAATATAAAAATATAAGAATGAAAAGAACTTTTCTCCTAATTTTACAATGGTCATGGATTTTATTTTTTTTTACATTTTGATACTCTTTCATTAAAAATTTTTTCTCATAATATTTTTTTATAAATTGAGTATTAAATCGGTCATAAAAGGATGTAATTAAAAAAAATTGATCATATTTAAAAAAAACTTCGGCTATAGTATAAATTTCTACTGTAGCGAGGAGTTCCATGGACTACTTTTTTCCTTTCAATTTCTTGGTTTCTTAACGATTGCCCGTGTCTTGCTTCTCTAATCTTCCGTGTGTTGTCTGTTAATCTGCTGTAAGCCCCCCCATTAACTGTTACAGTTTCATCGTAGAAAATCTGGGAATTTTACCTCTCATCATAATTGAACAGACGTTGTTTGATAAAAGACCCATGTTACTTTTCAGGCAAATTGTTGTTGTTTTTTTTTTTCCCAAGCTTGTTTGATAACGAAGGGGTGAGGTCTGCCTGTTTTTAAGTGCTCATTTGGTGGAATGGATTGCTTTTGAGTTTGAATATGTTACTGGGCATGTTCTGGTTATTGATGATCTGTTTTTTGCTTCAATTTCAGGGTTAGTCTTCACAAGAAGAGAAATTTTACTGTTGATATATAGTTATTAAAAATGTCGATTGCAAAGCCTTTGAAGAAGTTAGTATCTGCTGTTATTCTTGATTTGGATGGTACCCTTCTTCATACAGGTCAGCTTTTGCACTTTGGATTCATGTTTCATTTTACTTACATGGTCGTTTTTGTTGTCACATTTTTGCTTGTGCGTGGACATAATTGTTCTTCGATTTAATGGCACAGATGGCATAGTGAGCGATGTTTTGAAAGTTTTCGTGGTCAAGTATGGAAAACAATGGGATGGGAGGGAAACTCAAAAAATAGTGGGAAAGACACCTTTGGAAGCTGCTGCTGCTGTGGTGGAAGATTACGAGCTTCCTTGTTCAACTGATGATTTTCTGACTCAATTTACCCCATTGCTCTATGATCAGTAATTTATCTCTACACTCCTACGCGTTATGTATGTGGATCTGGGATCTTTTGTGAAGGGATCTCGAAAATATTATCTAATGTTTTTTGTAAGTCAGTGCTTTACTTGAAACACATAGTTGACTTGCATGCATGGTTGATCATGTGACCAAATAGATGTGTAAAGATAGAATAAACAAACTGTTAGATTGCCATTTTTCTGCCTCTATGTTTTTCTGTTTATGATTTTCTTTTCCTAAAACATGGAATAGTAGGACTTTCTTATGAAAAAATTGAATTTCTGACTGTTTTGTGCACGCACTCTATCTTATATATTGTAAGTAATTGACACTTGTGTCTTTTATCAATTTGAAGGTGGCGCAACATTAAGGCTCTTCCTGGTGCCAATCGGTTAATAAAACATTTGAGTAGTCATAATGTGCCTATGGCATTGGCTTCAAACTCTCCAAGGGCAAATATAGAATCCAAAATTTCTTACCATCAGGGTGGGTTTGTTTAAGAAATTTAATGAAACTGATAAGTTTTATTTCCTGTTGCTTCTTTTGAAAATTAGCTAGGGTGGCATAGCAAAGAGTCAAACTGAACTGCATTCGTACTCTACTTGCTTGGTTGCTCATTATACCTGCTTACAGGCTGGAAGGGATCCTTTTCTGTCATCATTGCTGGTGATGAAGTGAGAACAGGAAAGCCATCTCCTGAAATGTAAGATACATTTGCAATTTGTATTTTACTTTTTTTTGGATTATCAATCTTGTTTGGCTGAAAAGTCACAAATGTTCTTGGATTCTGACTTTGAAAGGTTTTCATTCTAGATTTTTGGAAGCTGCCAAAAGGCTAAATGTCGAACCATCCAGCTGCCTTGTGATTGAAGATTCTTTGTGAGTGAGTTTAACACATAAGTTATTATTGTAGTAAACCTTTTGATTTGTCTAACTGTGCCTCCTAGGTCTATGGAGAAATACTGTGAGTGTTGCAGTCCTAAAAAATGATGATGCAAAAGTTAATTACTTTCAAGCAGTCTAATTTGATCAAGAATCAGATTGTCTTTAGTACTTAACCCCTATTGCATTTGTTTTCAGCTTTTCCACTAGGATGGTGTTCCCGCTTCGTATTTTGTTGAAATGACAATTATGAACTCTTTTTATATGTTTTCTGATTATTAAATAAAATATAGGATCAAATATTTAAGTAGCCCCACTTTATTATATGTTCATTAACATAATCATATACTTGAAACAAAAACAAGAATAAGAATCGATGATGCTAAAATATTATAGATTTATTCTATCAAAAGACATCTCAACTTTTTTTTTCTAGACCTTTTGCCTCGTGATTGTTATGGGGGATATATTCATGCAGTACCGAGCATCTATGCTTAGATCACAAGTCAAATAAAGATGCTCCATGCACCAATATTATATATGCTGAAACTCTAATTTGATCATGAGTACTAGTTGATTTTTTATTAGATTTAACTTAAGGAATTTTTCCATATTTATTGTATATGATTGAAAAAATATTAAAGAAGGTTATATTAGTCATAACAAAAAATGTGGAGTGGGAATACCACTACCCCCTCCACCATTGTCTCCTTCTGTCTGTGCACTCTAATTTCTTGACCGCATAACATCAAAATATAGTTGTTTCTCAATAAAGTACATGGGAAAGTAGAAACGTGTTTCTGCTTTCTATCACAAAGTTCCTCTTACTGATTTTGGAAAGGTTGTGGCGATGTCAGGCCAGGTGTTGCTGGTGGTAAGGCTGCTGGCATGGAAGTAGTCGCTGTACCATCCATTCCAAAATCTCATCTTTATACAGAAGCAGATGAAGTGATCAATTCTCTGCTTGATTTACAACCTGAATTGTGGGGCCTCCCTCCATTTGAAGATTGTAAATCCCTAAAGACCCGTGTAAATGTTGAAGTTGCCATTATTTTCTTTTCATTCTAGTTCTTGTGAGAAAATTGATCTGTGATTGCAGGGATGGAGGGTACTTTGCCTATCAAACCTTGGCATATTGGTGGTCCTGTGATCAAGGGATTTGGTCGTGGCTCAAAGGTTCTTGGAATCCCAACTGGTATGTGTCTTCCTATGTGTTCTCTTTATGTGTTGTGTCTGAAGTTGTGCTTGTTGAATAATATCATCAGTATTTTGGGAATCTACTTCACTACTTATCTGACCTTGGTGTCACACTTTGTTTCAATGAATTTGAGCATAAAAATGGGTTATCCATGTTCTCTATGATTACTTCTATGTCATTCCATCATCTAACAAGTTTATTTGTTTTTTTCAGCTAATTTATCTACCAAAGGTTATTCAGCACTTCTTTCAGAACATCCATCAGGTGTTTATTTTGGTTGGGCTGGATTATCATCGCAAGGTCTTTACAAAATGGTCATGAGTATTGGTTGGAACCCATATTTTAACAACACCGAAAAGACTATAGTAAGTTTGACACTGACATAAGTGATGACCTGTGCATGCCTTAATCTATTCTCTTAATCTAATTTGTATTGTAGGAACCTTGGTTGCTTCATGAATTTGATGGGGATTTTTATGGTGAGGAATTGCGACTCGTGATAGTTGGCTATATTAGACCAGAGGTATAATCAACACTCACGGTATCCTTTTTGTATTCCTTGTTATATCACGCTAATTGGTGTTCTTTCTACATCCTTTGTCATCAGCGTCTTGCATTCCCTTTTTCACTAAATTTTGGTTTTGAAAAACTACAGGCCAATTTTTCATCGCTTGAGAGCTTGATAGCAAAGATTCATGAGGATAGAAGAATTGCAGAGAGAGCTTTAGACATTCCAACGTACTCGAAATATAGGGATGACCCATATTTGAAAGGCTCTTCCCTGTAACCATAGCAAGTCCATAAACTTTATGATCCTTAATTTTCCCAGAGCTCTTACTGCAAACCGCTTTTGTTTCATTATAGAAGGCATTCATTGTAACCGTATTGCTCTCTCTTTTCATGAAATGTTAGGCCTGGCTCGTAATCACTGTAGGTATAAAAATGAAACAGTGCCCGAGAGCCCCCTATTATTGTTACTGAATATTTATATACCAAATTGTCATCGATAATGTACTTGAACTATAGCTGGGAAGCTGTTATGCAGACTAATGTTTTAGTTTCAGTTTCATTCTATTTTGAGAGACAATTTCATAGGTAGGTTACTTTTGGTTGGGATGAGGACTGGCATGGCTTCTAATGAATTTTAGTCTGTTCCCCTGGCATGGCTCGATTAGAAGATAGGCAAGGGGAAAAAATAAATAAAATTAAATGGTCTTGTTAACTGGGGCCAAATTGCTTCACTTCTTATTATCTCCCTCTGAGAAATTTAAAACACCAGATCTGTATTATGAGAGTGGCGATATTTATTCTCATTACCAGGCATAAGCTCTGTTTGTTTGTTTGTTACGTAGGAACAGAAACTTCATTAGCTCCTCAATTTTAATTTTAATTTGTCCTCATTCCTTTTTGAGGTCGGACTTCGGAGTAGGAGTGTAGGACCCTAACCTGATTCTTATGTGTAAAAACCGAACGACCTGTTATTTTGTCCGTCCTTGGTTGAAAACACCATAACAACCGTATCAGAAGACAGGGTTGACCTTCTTGGGAAATTCCGACCTTCGAAACTTAACTGGAATACCAGTGTGTTCTTCCCAAAGAAGATGCGATCTCACTTCTTCTCCATGCCTGAATTCTTTACAAAAGTTGCTACTCCTTTTTCTTCCTCCACGCTTTAGGTGCATAGGCTAAAAACATATGTTTTTTATAAGAATCAAACGATATTTTTCGAAGGGAGAGATAAACATTGCAACAGTCTCACAACATAGAAATGGTGGTAAAGATCTAGCAGTGGATAGGAAGAAAAAAAATCAGAGTTTCACTGTTCGCCACCTGATTTGCTTCCTTAATTAACGAAGCAAACCTCCTTGAAGAAAGATCTAGCAGTGGATGGGACAAGTTCCAAGAAAAAAAAATCTTCGGAAATCCTGCCTTGCAGGCAGCTGGATCCCAGGAGTAGGAGGCGATAAAAAGAAAAGGAAAAGGAAAATGAAGAATTCGTTATAATTGATACCATATCATACCGTTTCACCTGCTAGTGATGTCCTCTCTTGGGCTCGTAACTTGGTCTCAAACTGCAGTAAACCGGCAAATTGAAGAGATGGGGGCAGACCTGCAACATGTTTGTCCATGCCGAGCTTGGCCCACTCTAACGAGGAGTGATCTTCCTGAGCATCAAGGCTTCATTTTACCAGACGCCGAGGATCAATCAACGAAAATGCACGTCCAAGATCATCCATCATATCAACAACTCCATCCTGACCCAGAGTATTCTTAACATCGCAGAAAACTTCCCTCCTCAATTTAGAGTTCTTATAATTGGCCAACAAGAAAACATGCCCAATTTCGAGCTCCATTTACAACAAGTGTGAGGAAAACTAACTAATTATTGAACATGGTTCACTGTCCACTTATCTTTTGCGATCGAAATTTAATCACGACAAAGAAAGCTTGTAATTGCAACAAAACAATGTCGTCTTAGGCATGCAAGTGAAGCGAAGAATGCGAAAAAATGACACAGATTTTTTAATCATTCGATGGATTCGAAATTGACCGTAACTTCCTTTTCTTTCTTTCTTTTTTTTTCCATAAAAGCTGAAATGATTTCAGAGCCCAAAATTTCAAGCAATCCAAAAAGCGATACCACCCCACGCGAGATGTTGGCTCACTCCTACCTATGATTCCCAGCAGCAATGCTAAACTAAACTAATAAAGGATTTTTTTTATATAAAAAATAGCATGGTTTTTCTAAAAATAGTAAAATAACTAGGTTTGAAAAAAAAAATTGCCAGTGAAAAAAACAACATTTTAAATAAATAGTTAAATAAACTAATATAAAGAAGAGGAGAGACAGAGAGAAACCTTGAAAGTACATTGAAATTTTAATTATTATTAGAAAAATTTCAATAATACAAATCTAATGATACTAAATAAATTACTAATAGCAGCAACTAAAATGGATCATATTCTTTATTCAAAGGAAAATAATTAATAATAAGTGAAAAAAAAAATCTTAAATACATGTTAAAGCTTCAATTATAACATTATTAGTATTATGAAAAATATATATACATGATAAATCTAACCACGCTAAAAAGAACCATAGCATATTAGTTTAATATATACTGTCATCAATCAATTGTGTTTCTAAGATTTATTTTTTATTTTTTTATTATAATTATTTATTTATCTTTGAATAAAAAATTTAATTCACTTTAGTTATTGTAAATAAATAATTTTTTATTGTTGGGTTTATATTATTAACATCTTTTTAATAAAAACTATTAAATAAAGTATTGCATTTTCAAATTACAGCAACTTTAAAAATATGTTCGGTTGAAAGCATATTTGGTACCGTGATAACAATTAAAATTTTAAATATATTTAATTTTTATTAAAAAATATTTTTGATATTAATATATATATATATCTAAATAAATAAAATAAATAAAATATTTTTAAGATATAAAAACAATTAAGCTGATATTTCCCGTAAATTCCCCCCTCGGAATGAGGAAAGTACAATTAAGGCACCCCACCGCCCCACCTGTCACCTTTCGTGAATTCCCCCGCCCCTACACTAAACCTACGTATCCATACGTGGGCTCTCGACTCCACGTTTTTTCTCGTAACCATATTAACCAAACACACAAACTCAGAACCACCATGAAACCTTCCGCCACAGCCACATCCTCCTCCTCCTCCACCGCCACATTAGATGTCGTAAAAGCCCCAAACTTCATCAAAGTTACGGCCATTACCATCTTCTCCTTCTCTGTTATTGCCCTCCTCTACCTCTTCCCATCCTCCCCCTTCCCCTCCTCTATCTCCTTCTCTCCCTCCTTCTCCATCACCTCCCCACAACAAATAAAAAATAAAGCGTCCTTGGTTTCACCTCGGCCCAAAAAATCCCGGCCCCCACCTCCTCCAACGGTGGGGGAGAGGACGGGGATAGTGGACGAGAACGGTGCAATGGCGGAGGATTTTGTAATCGGGGAGTTTGATCCGAGTGCAATGGATGAATTTAGAAATTTAACTGGTGGCAGAGAGGAGACATCGACGAAAGAAGATGGTAAACTAACCAGGGTTAAGTATGAAAGATTTAGAGTGTGTGAGGAGAGTACGAGAGATTACATACCATGTTTGCATAATGTTGAGGAAATTAAGAGGTTGAATTTGAGTGGAAGCTTGGTGATATATAAGAGGCATTGCCCTGAAGAAGGTAAGGGGCTGGATTGCTTGGTGCCTATGCCGAAAGGGTATAAGAGATCTATACCTTGGCCTAGGAGTCGAGACGAGGTAATTTTGTGAATTTTCTGTCATTTCATTTTTAATTTTTGTACTTGTTTAATGGCCGGCTTAACGGTAGTTTTTTGTTTCTTGTTTTTTGGTTTCGTTTTTAGGTTGGTTGATCTGGAAATTGTAATTATGTGTAATGTAACTGGGTTGTTTAGTAATTCTGGGAAGTTAGTGGATTTGTGGGTTAGTGTTCATGGGAGTCTAATTGCTGATAAAACTGGAGATTTTCTGGGTGTTTTGGTGTTAGATTGGTGCTAAAAGTGTATAACCAAGTTTAAACTATAGTTAGAGTAGTTAGAACTGCTTGGATAATTGATGGCTGTTTAAAATTTATGGCTAACGAGTAGCTAAGAGTACAGAAGCTAATTGAGCCATAATGATGGCTCTGATGCATTCCGCCGACTGTGCCCTTACAGTAACTAATACATTTGAATGTCTAAAATAGTTTTGTTGCTTTGGAAAATGTTGGTCAATTTCCTTGTACTTGGCAAATAACTGTTCAATCTTCCAGTGAAGTTTCTTTGGTCTGATAATGAGATGTAATAATAGGTGTGGTTCAGTAATCTGCCACATACACGTCTGGTCGAAGATATGGGTGGCCAAAATTGGATAGCATTAAAAAAGGATAAGTTTGTTTTCCCAGGAGGAGGAACTCAATTTATTCACGGAGCAGATCAATATTTAAACCAGATTTCAGAGGTTGGTTAGTGGTTACTTAAAAATTCCCGCCACTTATTATTTTTATTCTCATGATTTTGATTGCTGTATCAACTTTGATTTGCAGATGGTTCCTGAAATTGCATTTGGTCAGCATACCCGCGTTGCATTAGACATTGGTTGTGGAGTGGCAAGTTTTGGTGCCTTTTTGTTACAGCGTAATGTGACTACCTTGTCAATAGCACCAAAAGATGTCCATGAGAACCAGATTCAATTTGCACTGGAGCGTGGTGTTCCTGCAATGGCAGCTGTATTTTCAACACGGCGTTTGTTGTACCCAAGCCAAGCATTTGATTTGATACACTGTTCAGAATGTGGAATTGATTGGACTCGTGATGGTAGATTTTCTCATCGTACTATCAAGTCTGAGACTCGTCATTATATGTCGGAATCAAAAGATTTTTTATTTTATATTCACCATTTCTGTCTTTCCTTGGTTGAATTGAAGATGGAATTTTGCTTCTTGAGGTGAACAGAATGCTAAGGGCAGGAGGCTACTTTGTCTGGGCAGCACAGCCTGTATATAAACATGAAGAAAATCTCCAAGAACAATGGAAAGGTGATCCTCTCGATTCTAAGAGAAACTGCCTTTTTTTTTAATTGCTTTTCTGTAGTTCATCAACCTGTTTTGCTGTATCTTTAATATCACAGCCACTTCTTCCTATTTTCTTCCTTTGTTATTATTGTTCTTCTCTGACTCCCTGATTTCCATCAGCCAGATAGTGTTAGAGATGAGGAGCTCAAACCTCCTGATTGCTTGAATTGAATTTTTTTCCTGTTTACGTTCAGAAATGCAGGACCTAACTAGACGCATTTGTTGGGAACTTGTAAAGAAGGAAGGATATATTGCCATTTGGCGGAAACCTTTAAACAACAGCTGCTATCTTAGTCGTGATAGTGGGGCACAGCCTCCTCTATGTGATTCCAATGATGATCCAGACAGTTTTTGGTAGACCCTGGCTCATTCCTTCAAGATTTTGGTTAAGTCATAAGTGGATTAGTAAATTTTAATAAGAGTAGGTTTAATACTATAATTCTGATCTTCCTTTTGAATGAGATTCAACAAGAGAATCTATACCAATTAAATCAGTGGACATACTTTGGCAACTTCGTGTTGGCTCTAATAATGCTGAGGGATCGATACACCATTGCTTTGTTTTCTCTTTCCTTTTCCTTTGCGATCTAATCTGGCCCTGTGTTTCCAGGAATAAACTGTGCATAGCTTATAGCAGCTTCTATCTGTTCTCATCCATCAGACTTGAACATTGGATAACTGCATCTGTTTTGACAATATTGGTGAATTTTGTATGATATCTATGTCCTTTGCAGGTATGTCAGTCTGAGGCCATGCATAACTAGATTGCCTGAGAATGGTTTTGGAGCTAATGTCAATACATGGCCTATACGCCTTCATTATCCACCAGATAGACTCCAGAGCATAAGAATGGATGCCACCTTTTCCAGAAAAGAACTTTTCAAGGCAGAGTCAAAATATTGGCATGAGATTATAGAAAGTTATGTCAGAGCTTTCCACTGGAAACATATGAATTTTCGAAATGTGATGGACATGAGAGCGGGATTTGGAGGGTACCTTCTTTTTGCTATTGCATTTCAATAAGGCACTATGGTGAATTCTCTGATTTTAATTTCAATATTAACTGTACAAGGTTTTTGGAGGAATCCATGATATTATGTAATTTGTGCATCATTTTTGTAATGGCAGGTTTGCAGCAGCATTACATGATCTGGATGTTGATTGCTGGGTTATGAATGTTGTTCCCGTGAGTGAGTTCAATACTTTACCTGTGATTTATGACCGAGGACTTATTGGAGTCATGCATGACTGGTATGGATAGTGCTTCTTTTTGCCTTCTATTCTCGGTAGTTTCTTTGAATTTATTCAGTCCTATTTCTTACCCCTATTTCACAATTATTTGAGAATTGCTGTCCTAGTGCTTATAGACTCATCAGGGGAGTAAAAGGAACATGACTATGGAGTTTTTAATAATAATAATAATAATAATAATAATTTTGACAGTTCATAGTTTTCCTTAGGAAACAAACTTTATTGAGAATGAGATAAACAGCTAAATGATTTAGAAAATGTCAATTGTATATAGGGGCACCATTTGATGGAATTAGTAGAATTGGAATGTTTTTTAGACAGGATTTTTCCATACGTTCTAAATCGAGTATCTTAATTTTGCTTCTTTATCCAAGCAGCTAAAAAGTTCTGGCTAAACAATGTAGATGTTATGATCTCTGTAGCTTTTTATATTACAAGCTATATCACAAGCTCACGTTTCTACGATCTTAATCTATATTTACTTGAATGATGCTATAAATATTCATTAAAGTGGTTAATTAATTATAATTGAACAAAAGCGAGTCTGAATGGGTATACTCAGTCATGAAGCATTCTGAGTATTTGCTTTAGGGATCGTTCCTGCTGCTTCCTTTATAGCAGTTACTGCTCTGGTTCCAGAAGGTATAGCTCTTGTCTCGGCTTTGCCTTTGAAATTGGAGACTGTTCCAATTTCCTACTGAGATAGGCAAGCGTAGGGAGAACTAGATGTATCTTGCTAGGCAAAGACAGGTTAGAGTGGATAGCTCGTGGGTGGACAGGATAGATCACTATTGCAGGAGGAGGTAGAACCGGGGGAAGAATTAGGCTAGAAAGGTCATCGCCCTATTAGGCAGTTGGTTCTAAAGATTCAATCTCAAAGTGGTACTAAAGATTAGGCCAAAGCGGAACTAGAACTAGACCCCTCCTCCTATACCATACCAAGAAGTGTAGCTAACCAATATGGATTGCTGAAATGACCTGTCAAAATTGCTTAGCAGAGCTGCACGAGCACCTCGACCATAGAAATTTAGAAGTGAAGTGCCATTGGGAACTCTGACTGCAGACTTTGCTGGGCCAGAACTAAAAAGTTTTTCTCCCAACCTTTACTCCAGAGTCCCCATGCTTCATTTGGGTATTTTTTAAAGGTTTAACTGTAAAAGTATCTGTTCTTTACCGTTGATTTGTTGTTACCAAGCTCTTGATCTTGATTATGAATTCATAATTCTCAAAATCTTGTTTCCCAGGTGCGAGACATTTGATACATATCCGAGAACTTATGACCTATTGCACGCAGCAGGTTTGTTCTCTGCCGAGCAGAAAAGGTATGACTCCATGTTCCTCGTGCTTGTCTTATTGTTTATTTCTTCGTGCTTCGCTGGTGGAAAGTAGATATAACTTTCTGCAAATTATTGTTGATTGTAGGCACAAATGCAAAGTCTCAAGTATCATGCTTGAGATGGATCGAATGCTAAGGCCTGGTGGAACTGTTTATATACGTGACTCAATATCTGTTATGAGCGAGCTTCAGGAGATAGCAACTGCCACGAGATGGGTGTGTACACTTCGGGACACGGGGGAAGGTCCCCATGCGAGCTGGAAAATTTTAACCTGCGATAAAAGGATGCCATGAGTTTATCATATTGGTTCTCTGAAGATGGGACTCCTGTCTTATGGTACAATTTTTTTTCTTTTTTGACTCTAATCATTTTTGTACATTAGTCACTATACCTCTATGATACAAGCGAGTCCCTAATTCAAGCGAATAGATACATTTGCAAATATCTTGTCATACTGTAATGGCAAACTCACTGATATGTTATTGCATTCACACACAAGCGCAAGCCAGGACCAAAGATCTTAACAAATAACTAAAATTTTGTTTTTCGGAGCTAAAATCTTTTATTTTTTTTGGTGTGTGTGTGTATTGTTGCTTCTGCGGACCATCGTTATACAACTGACTTGTAAAGGTCAAAGCCTCTGTTTTAACCAAGTTTATGGTGTTCGCAACACCCCATCAAAGAAAATGGGTCTAAAATATATATGGTTTAATTTTATATAATTAGTTTAATTTTAAAGTTCTCGATAAAAAAAGATGGTTTGGTAATTAGAGAGTGCATTTTTTCTTCACTAATTTGCATTTTAGACCCATTTTCTTTGATGTGGTGATGAACTTGGTTAAAACAGAGGCTTTGACCTTTACAAGTCAGTTATATGACGATGGTCCGCAGAAGCAACAAAATGAAACCAAACAGTGACATCAGCAATTGACGAGGGGCTGGATTATGGAAAGTACGAGGACGAGCCAAGACAATACACCAATCTATATCTTGAATGGACGCCAATTCTATATCTTGAATGGGATTGCAGGGGAAGAGAGACCCTTGAGGTCTATCAAATGGAAATTGATGTCAAGAGCCATGTTCATAATCTCTAATCAAACAATATGATTTCGTGTTCGGGTTACCATGACTGCCAAAGTTCCCCCACGCTCATGCTAATCCCCAGACATGTCCATCAGAGTTTACCCAAGCCAAAACTTTGCCGAGAAAAAGAAAATTTAATTACATAATCACATCAACAATCCAAGAGCCAAAAATAAACCTGATCCTTCCTTCAGATTTCTCTATGGCTTTATGGAAGAAGAATCCTTGTGCGCTGCTGTATTAACCTGTTTGGACAGATATGCTTCATAAATCTCCACGACAAGCCGGGGATCCTCTTCCACAAGCTCTATGTATTCCTTCCTTTTGGTAAGCTTGTCCATGTTGTCAGTGATCAATGACAACGCTGTTTCAAGCATATGCTTTGCATTATGCTGATGGGCAAAGGCATAGCTCATGACTGAGTTGTCCCAGTTCAGTTTTGACACCAAAAACTTCTCACAATAGGCCTTGAGATGCTTCACCTCGTATTTTTCAGCCAATACTAGAAGGTCACAGGCCATCTGCTCATCAAGGCACGCCTCAGCAGTGTACAGATAGTTGACAAAGCTTCGAAGTGCATCATATGATACATCACTAATCTTGATGGTGCCACTCCGGCTTTCTTCCATCTCATTCTCAAGCATCGCTTTGAAGACTGGGGAACGGCTCACCTGTAGTCAGAAAGAAAACAATTGAGCATCCCCATAACACATCACCAGATCGTCTCATCCAGTGTTAAGTGGACAAGCAGGATTCTTTTTGTTTAGACTGATACGGAAACAACTCGAAAGAAAAACGCAAAATTGTCTCCCATGGTTCATGGGTTCAAGTTCTGTCTAATTTGTACGAAAATAAGCTAAAATCTTAATTCGATGGACCAAATTTAAGGGACATCCATGCAAATAACACCAACCAGGTATGCATTTGGAAAATACCCGATTGTCTTTAACATGACACAAGTCCATATTTCCTCTTGTTTGACACATCAATTTAAAGCCTAAACTGATTTTCCCACATCCGTACAATAATAGAAACACACGCCTCCTCAGCAGCAACTGTGGGTGTATGCATGATCATTGATCAATCAAGAGACGCTAAAAGACTGATCAACAGAGAAGTTGCAGTAAACAACATTCAGAATTACCCAGTTAAAAAAAGCAAGCCTTCTAACTGATCAAGAAATTTGACTAATAGGATTGAGGAATTGGGTCTTTACCAAAACAGCCTTGTGAGCAGGAACAGGCACGGATGGGCTAGTCCCGATAAGCCCATCATCGGAGGAAGCAATCAAAACGACATCGGTGAAGCAAGGGCCAGCAGAGAAGCGATGGGTGATGTGGTGATCAAGAGGAGACCAGAAACGCAAGAAGGCGACTTTAGCTCTGAGATCTTTGATCTCTCTTTTAAGCTCTTCTTCAGTATCGCTTGCTTCCTCGTAACACTCTTTGCAAGTTCCGGCATCGCATCTGCTGTAGTACTCCTTACAAGATATGCACCTCATGGTTTCGGAGTCGGAGTCAGTCTCGCATTCTGTGTCTACCCGGGACGCTGTACAGAGGTGGCCTCTCATCGTGTTTCGTTGAGTTTTATGAAGCAAGGGAAGAGGTGGATTTTAATGAGTGGGGGGTGGACGAGGAGGATTTGATTGATCGTGGGGGTGGCTGCAGCCTGCAGAATGGTGGTTTTGTAGGGACAAATCGAAATGAAATGAAACAAGGGATAATTAGATCAGTAATTACGCTCATCTTTTTTTTTAAATGGTTCGCTCCGTTACTGTTTTGAGATTTTGATTAGGTTTAGTTTAATACTGGCCCTTTAACTCAAGCTCTTCAACGTATCTTTTAATATAAAAAAATTATTATTAAAAGATTTAATAAAAATAAAAATAAAATATAAATTAAAATATTTAACCATAAAATATTTATCTAATTATATTTACTAAATTTATTTATTAAAATTAATAGGAGATAAATCCACAATATCAAAACTTCATGACTTAAAATATAAATATAAATGAAATTGACTAAATAAATTCATGCTAAAAAAATATCATGTAAGTCTAAACACATTAATAATATTATTTAAAAATCTTTATTTGTATAAAACCTAGAAAAAATCTAAATGAATTAGCAAAACATCTTAAAAAATTAAATACAAACAAAACAACTCAAAAAAATTTGTATTGAAAAATAGCATGCAAAACCCGCAACTTGAATTATTAAGTTAAGATAAACTCATAAAAAAATTGAAGATAACTATAAAATTATTATTAAAAAATATAAATGCAAAGCAATAAGATCGTGTGAAATTAAATATTTAACAAATTAAATATTGAAAGATAAAATAAAATAAAATTAACTACATAAAAAAAATCTAAAAAATAAAGGAGAGGGCATTAATTAACAACTAGAAATTTGATTTGATTTATGCTTCGGAGCGGGTCATAATTTTTATTTTTAAAAGATATATGAGTATACAAGCTATTTTTATATTTATTTTTTACCAAATAAAATTTATAAGTGTAAATCGCAAAAAATTATCTAAAAATATAATAATTATTTATATAAATAAATTATTAATAATAACATATAATAATTATTTATATAAATAAATTATCAATAATAACTAAAAAAATTAAAAAATAGATGTAGATCAAGATATTTGATCACACAAAAAAAATAGATGTAGATCAAGATATTTGATTACACAGAATAAGATATTTATTTGCTTGTTATCCGCTAAATCTATTCATTAAAATCAACAAAACATAATAAAAATAAAAACTTATATGAAACAAAGTGAATAAAAAAAAGGTATGCATAGCTAAATATACAAGGAATATTATTTCAAAATAAATATTTTTTGTACAAAACAAAACCTACTTGTATAAAATAAATAAAAAACCAACAAAAATTAAACACAAAACAAAGAATTTTTTCTAGAAAAAAAACTATCCAAAAATAGCTTGTAAAACTTATGGTTTAGATAATGAGATCGAGATAAACTAATAAAAAAATAAAGGTAACTACAAAACATTAAAAAAAAATATAGAATGATAAAATTGCAAAATAAAATGAGAAATTTTTTTCTAATTTTATTAACACTTAAAACTTGTGACTCGAGTTATTAAATTAGAAATATAACAAATGAAAAAATCAGAAAACCCGATTCCAGATAAATCAAGTACCAAAGGATGTAACCAGAAAAAAAAATCAACCATAAATTAATTAAACAATAATGGTGGAAACCAAAATAAAAAATAAATTTGAATGCATTTAAAAAATAAATTGCATTGTTAAATTAAAAAGAAAAAAATAAAAGCTAAATTAAAAAAATAAAAACTTTAATTGAAAGATAAAATTGAATACTAATAAAACTTTAATAAAAGATCCAAAGATAAAAATAACAAATCAAAAGACTGAATTGAAAAAAATAATATATGAATGTTAAATTACTAAAAAGCCCTCCACAATTATAGAGATATACAAATAAACTATTGTAAAAATACTAAAATACCCTTAACTACATATAAGCTATTTTGTTTTATTTGAAGGAAAATAAGTGTTTTACTTATTTTAAAGTTTGTGCAAGGTTAAGAAAAAATAATTGGTTACCAAGTTTAAATTCATTGACTTCATAGATAAAAAAAAATATTTTTACTGTAAACAATATTCTAAAAAAACAATATCCCAAAAAAATAAAATTAGGGTGTTATAAAGATCCATGCAAAAGGATAATGATTTAATAATAATAAAAAACAAAAAACTATTTAAGAATAAAAATGTTGGGTCTAGACCGCAAATCTAGTCATAAAAAAAAGCTAAGATGCGCGTCGGGTCCAAAGAACATTTGACAACATGCCTAAGCTCGGCCGCAAGGCCTAAGCTTACAGTGTGCTAGGCGTGTGCCCAACGCTTGGGCTTGGATGTCACGCTTGAGCCCACGAGGCGCTAAGTATGCCTTGCATGGCACTGAGCATGTACCCACCACCTGGGATTGGGTGTGATACCCGAGCCCCTGGGAAGCTAGATGTGCACCCACCAACTGGGCTCAGGTGATATCTTCGAGCCAACAAGTGTGGTGTGTGTATTTAAAACATGTGCTGATATTAAAACAAACTTGCACTAACTAAAAAAACATTTTTCTAAGAATATTAATAAATACTGTATATCAAATACATATTTTAAAGTCAACAACATCAGTTTTATTAAAAACCACATCGAATAAATATACAGATGGATGGTTAAATCAATCGATATTTAAGGCAAAGAAATGAAAGACAGATGGAAACGTTAAAAGGAAGGGTGGAGCCATAAAAGGAAAGCCTCGTTCAGGCGAGGCATGATACGGGGTATCCACTTGAATCCGGGAGGGACCTACTAGATTCTGGCGTCCCTCACCAAACTCAGGAGGCGGGGGGGGAGGCGCCGAGAATCATTTCACAGTCAAGTCCATACCCACTGAAAACCTCCACGTGTCTATTAAAACATATGGGTAATTCGTTCCAAGATCCGACCCAACTTTTTCGCTTTCAATAAAATAAAAAAAGGAGTAAAATGTAAAGATAAAAACTATTACGAGGTCCCGGATTCTTTGTTTTGTTTTCTTTTTTTAAAACAAACTAGGGAGTACAACTGTACACAAGCAAGGATAAGAAGACCTGCTACTCGCAGAGCCAAGTCCCTCTCCCTCCCTAACAAAACCAACTCTCTTCATCGTCTTCTTCGTTTTCCTGCTCTCAGATAATTAGGGTTTCGGCTTTCCAAAGACTAAAAAAATTCTCTACTCGGTCTGGTACGCTTTCTTTGCACTCTCTCCTTCTATTTTATTTTTCTATTTATTCTGTTTATGTTAACTGTTTGGGAACTGTGCAATGCTAAAGAAAATGAGAAAAAAAAGAATGTTCAGATTTTCTTTTTGCTGGCCATTCATGTCGAACTTACACGAATTTCCTAGTATTTCACTTGATTAAGGCTGAGTGACCTAGTGCAAAAGTTTTTTCCTTTTCTTATTCTTTTTCTTTTGTGTTTTTTTTTTCCTGGATACCAGACGGGAGCCTAGGTTTATTTTTAACATTACCGGCTCGGAGGGTTTTTTTTTTTAAATTTATGCTGCTTTTTTTTAAAAAAATTCTGTGTTATATTTTCTGTAGTTTCACCCTAATTGGGCTCTTTTTGTTGTGGGTGTCACAGTGAACCCTGATTTGGCGCTGAAAAGCTCGAAATTAGGGTTTTTTTTTAACATTTTAAGAATGGTTGGTGAAGAGGGAATGGGCAATGGTGAGGGTACAGAAGAAATAGTTCAGCCCTTAAAGATTGAAGCATTGGACAATGGGTTTGGAAATGACGGTGGTGAAGCAAGCTCTGGCAGTAGTGAAGGTTTTCGAACTTACAAGAGACGCAGGAGCACGAGGTCAAGTTTGGATGGGAAAGGTCAACAGGATGGGAAATCTTTTATGGAAGCTGCTAGAAGATTGGCAGACCAGGTAGCTCACAAACACAGGCCGTCCATGCCAATTTTTCCTTATGCAATCTCATTGTGTATTGACTTGTTGGAAATTACTCTTATTGAGTATGATTTTGTAGAGAAGATACTTGCACTGGAAGTGTTTGTGTTGTGCATTTTATTCTTTCTCTGCTCTAGCTAAGATGTGGTTTCTTGCAGACTATAAAGAATGATTCACAAGACCATCTACGTGAGAATCATGCTTCTTTGAATCATTCAACTGACGCTTCACAGAGGCAGTGGAGAAAATTTGTCCTTGACTACATGTATCAATCATCAAGTAATGATGACCATGGCATACAGAGGTGCATCAGGGATGCGCTTATGATGGCAGTTAAGATCTATGCAGCTATTAAATTGAATGTTCTAAATAACTATAAGATTCATTTCTCATTCATGTTTTTTTGATTTATTAACATTTTTTTGTCCCTAAATTTTTTTGTCTTAGGAATCTGGTAACTGTAATGCAGAATGGCATAAGTCACCTTCAGTGGGGCGGATGCCTAATGGAACTCACAGTACAGCTAAAGGGCATGTAGGTGTCATTTCAAATGGAACCTTGGGAGAATCACAGCATCACAGTGTAACTGACTTGTGCCAACATGCTTTCCTTAACATCTTACTGTCAGAAAAGTTCACCTCTCTTTGTAAGCTACTGTTTGAAAATTTCAAAGGAATGACGACTGACAGCATTTTTAGCCTGAATTTCATAGACAAAAAGATGAAAGAGGGAGCTTATGAACGTTTGCCTGTGCTTTTCTGTGAGGATATTGAGCAGGTAATTTATTACAATCCTTGTCTACATTGTTTGATATTGTTAATTACAATTCTTTTGCTGAAATCATTGTTGAGTTAGATTTAGAATTGAATGTCTGTTTTTTCTTGGTACCACCTTGCTTATGTGCCGCTAATTCGATAACAAAAGCCAAGGGATACATCTTCCACTTTAGACAAGGTTTTAGCACCCCCTGCCCCTGCAAGTTGTGTAACCAGCCATTAAATGCAAAATGGATATATACATTTGTTTTATATGAAAGTTGAAAGGAAAGATACAATGTTTTAAGACATCATGCACCAATGAAAGTATTTGTTTGATGTTGTGGTCCTTTACGGAGAGTTATACTTTTAAAGTTTCATTTTATTGCCGCAATGTTTACACGATCTTATCTCTTAGATGCAATTATTTTAAATGAATTCCTGAGACACTTGTGCAACCTCTACCCTCTCTGGTAGTTGACAAACTTTTGAGTGATTCACTACTGCATGTCAGATATTTTGGGGGATCTCTTAGGAGTAGAAAACTATAATGCCTTCATCTTTATTACTTATACTTTGATAGGTTAGATTTTTCACATCTTACTGTTAATATAGAACATTTAAGTGACTATATTAACAATAACTTCTTCCTGTGATGTATACCATGATCATAGCTTGTTCATTTTAATTGGCTAACTACTACATGTTCATGTTACTGGTCCTGTTCATTGTAATGTCATTCAGCATGCATAATTTTGTTTCTGTTTACCAGTTCTCAGAAGAAAATGCAATTTCTTTTTCTTGTGCCATTCATTTAAACTGAACAACATTTTCAGTTCTGGAGAAAACTTCAAGGTTTTGGTGCTGAATTAATCTCTCTCGCAAAGAGCCTATCAGACATATCAAAGACATGCTATAATGGACGGGTAAGCCAACCAACATGTAGATATTCTTCTGGCTGGCTAAGAACTTGAGTTCTATGCTAAATGCAGCATTTGCTTCATTTTTCAATTTACTATTGTTTCTTGATTCCCTTTTATGGTTTTCTTTTTATTAAACCTGAAACATTTACTTGTGCTTTTCAGGTGGGAGGATTAGTACACTGTACATTTGAAGATAAAAAGCATGAGGTAATTTTTGTGAAACATGGCAGTACAATTAGTTTTGTAATGCTGGCATTAGAAATATATACCACTGAATTGCAGTAGCAAGCCAAGCGCATGTTAACTGTAATATTTGTAAGTTATAATTGGTTATGATTCCTATTTAAACCTTTGTGCTGCAATACAATTCTGTACCCAGGATTCCAATTCTCATGGTAAGCCAGAGCAAACAGATGCTTGTTATGTCTACAGAGTCTGCAGTTGCATTCGTTGTGGGGAGAAGGCAGATGGGAGGGATTGTTTAGTTTGTGATTCATGTGAGCAAATGTACCATGTCTCTTGTATTGTGCCAGCTGTCAGAGAGATCCCCCCCAAAAGCTGGTACTGTCACAACTGCACCACAAGTGGAATGGGATCCCCTCATAAGAATTGTGTAGCATGTGAGAGATTGAGTTGCTGCAGGACCCAAAATAATCAAGCTGATGATGAAATTGGTTTATCAACTCAAGAACCATTCAATGATTTTGAAGAGGCATCAAATTTTAGCGCGAATAATGAGATCAAACTTTCATCAGAAGGGACTGGAAACGTGTGCACCTGTAAAATCTGTGGAAGTCCAGTGGGTAATGGAGAGAAGATGAAGATTTGCGATCACTCTGAATGCCCTGGCAAGTACTACCATGTGAGATGCTTGACAACGAGGCAGATAGATTCATGTGGTCATTGTTGGTATTGCCCTTCTTGTTTATGCAGAGTGTGCATCACTGATAGAGATGATGATAAGATTGTTTTATGTGATGGCTGTGACCATGCGTACCACCTTTATTGCATGATTCCACCACGGGTTTCTGTACCAAAAGGGAAATGGTTTTGCAGACAGTGTGATGTGAAAATACAGCGATTACGCAGGGTACGGAGGGCATATGAGAAATCTAAAAGTCATCGGAGAAAGAATGATGAGGGGGTTAAAAAGGAATCTGAAAACCTCAAGGAACTTTATGAGGGTGGAGAAGAATCAGATAAAGGTAGAGGAATGGACATGCTTATAACTGCAGCACTAAATTGTGAAGTTGGCTGCCAATCGAATGAAGAGTTGAAAAGCATGTAACATTTTCAGGAGATTACAAGATAAAAGTCAAGTTTTTGATCATATATCATGCTGATTTTGTCTGCGTAACTGATTCCAAGAATCTTGACTATGCCGCTTTACAGGGGATGAATATTTTCAGTAGGTTGTAAACTCGTAGGTTTTGCTGATTGCTGACTTGGATACACGATTCCTGGCAGGCTCATGATATGTAGGCTTGTATATTTACTGGTTTGCAACTAGCAAATACATGACATGGAGTGACAAGGATCAGGGAATCATAAGATATGTGTTGGAGATGATGTTTTTAACAGTGAACGGCCAACATTCCGTTCATTTTGTACTAAATACGGTTCATTCTTTGTAAGGGGAAAGCTATTTCTGACAGTAATGTTGTGAAATGAGAAACTGTTCCCAAATCTCAAACAACCAGACTTTTTAAAGACAAGGAACATTTTCTTCTGTACTTGAAGAAGTTCAACTTTTCACCCCCCCGGCCCAACTAATGCAGGTCTTTAGCTGGTGAGCATTGATGGTTCTCTCATTCCCTGGAGGTGTAATCTTTTGCCCAGCTGCATTTACCAAGGGAACTGGGAGTGATTTGAAATGAGTGCCCTAGTTGATGAGAGTGCCAGCGGTGATTTGAAGTTAAAGCAGGAATGTCTGCACACCTTCTACATTTCAACATGGCAGTTCTGGAGTGCCGTGGTGCGCTGTTAATTTGAAGACTCGAATGGTACTCACCGTTTTCGTAATTAAACCTTCTGATGTTTACAGATGGTTTTGCAAGGTGCTTGGTGAATTTGTGATTTTTTTTAAAACAATTTGTTCGTAAAGTGTTTTAATTTTTTTTTTAAATATTAAATTAATTTTCATAGATGATTGATGTGTTTTCAAGAATAAAAAAAAAACCTAAAAAAATATTATTTTAATATATTATCAATTAAAAAATATATTTTTAAAAATTACCCTACACTACAATACAAACACACACTTTGTAATCCATGCCTGACATTGTGATGTCTGAGCTGCTGCAGAACTGATTTCTGATTTGGGCTGATGATATCCTCACTGCTGCCAAGCTTGTCTAGTGAGCAAAATATCACATTAAAAAGTATGGTGCTCTGATTAAATGCCGGTGGGTTTTTTAAACAATCTACGCCCAATCATAAGTCCTAACTGTAAACCTCTGCAGGAATTTTCTCAATCTCGAATGAAATAACAAGGTACAATTAAGTTCGCTTTTATTGGTATTTAACATTGCCATTCGACTCCCTCTTATTTGAGCCTAGAGTCACCGTGACTTGAACCACCGGGAGCAAGAGCAACCGAGAGGGGAAAGAAACAATAACGAGAAGAAACAAAAATGGAAAATTGCTGAGGTTAATTCATGGCTGTGCTTTCTGAAACTCCATAACCCAATTGCCGTCAGCTCAACAGATAACCTGAGAAACCAGATTTCATTGCTAAGACTTAGTCCTTTAATGTCCTCTCTTAACCACCAGGATTTCAAGCTAACATCAGCAAATCTTGCTCAAAGACAATGTGTGAAGAAGCAATGTTCTCTGGTGGAACGGGAAGATTGATTACACAATGATCACCTTACCATCTCTTGGAAGAGCTTCCCAGCAGTTCTTGAGAAGTTTCAAGCAACGCTCATCGCTCCAATCAACAGTTCCACAATGATCACCTTACCATCTCCTGGGGTGACTAAATTATTTTCTATGAAGTTCAAACTAGTCTTCTGATTTCACTAATTTTTCCTTTTCTCACATCTTGACAATGAACTTCCATTAGCAGTTTTGGCTCTGACATCAACTAACTAAAGAAAACAGAGATTTCAAATCAAGGAGGCTTTACCTTCAAGAAAACAGCATCTCCCTTGGGCACACTCGCAAACAATACCTCCCCCCAACATGCTCCACGCCTCAGACGTAAAATGCCTTGTAGTAAGTTAAAGGCTCTGATGCTCGTGTATGTGAATCAAACTGATAAAACACCGTTCATCATTTCAGAAGCAGGAAGGAAAGGAGAAAAACAGGACACTAGCGGACCACTTTGTTGTTTAGCCACAGTTCTTTACGGAGCAAATTGCATCAAAATACAGACGGGATAGAGTCTTGCTTGTACAATAATGCTATAAAAACAAAAAAAGGCAATGATACCTGGATATGATGGTGCATCTGCTATTACATGGGGCAGATCATAATTTGTACCCTGAATGTGAGGATGCTTAGAAGAGATGATGTTGATAGTGACTCCACCTCCACCTCCACCTCCACCATCAACTAATTCTTTGAACCCATGAACCTTCGTAAATATCAAGGATCTTCTTCATGATCAAGGTAGTATGGTTTGACATTGCTAGATTGAATATCCTACTGAACATTTGATCGGTTTCTGGATACTCATAAGCTGTGATCCCCCTTCAAGTATAGCATCATTAAGGAGGTGCCTGGCAGATCATTACATCGCTTAAAACCAACATCCTGTAAGGGAAAGTTATTTACTCTGACCTCCCCCTCTCTTTATACAGGTCTATTTATAGCACAGAGAATTCCAAATTCTTTGAATTGAACAATTTCTTGGTGTCTGATTTAGGTCATATCCAACCCAACAGACCCATATGATTTATTTTCTCTATCAGAAATGCTCATCAATTTGTTATAGCAGTAGCCTAATTTCTCTATTGATTCAAAAGTACTATTTAAAAGGTCAACCGAACACAAAAAACACCAGGAAATACCAGCTTTTCATGAAGACCTCACAATGATGCAACGAAAAACAAAGGGGCGACAGATCCACCACTTCCACCTTCAATTTAACAAGAAACTTGCATACAGGTCCTTCTCTATACGCTCTCTCCACTTCCCCGTTCTCTTTAATACATGTTGAGCACTTGAGTATATCATAGCTTGCCAAAAGACGCAGCCTTCGGTCTAGCAAGACGGATGCATCTGGGTTCTTTGAGGGAATTCTAGCTGCAATCTTGGCAGGTGAGATGCATGCGCAGCCACCTTCACTAGTAGTTGTGAAGATGATATCTACGAGCTCAATGGCTGATTTCAGTACCATTGGAAGAACTACAGCATTTTCTAGTCCGTTGGCTAGCTTGCCTGTTTGTTCTTCTTAGAAAGTGAGTTGTGTTGCTCAGTACTAGACATTTTTTGTGGGTTGGGTAGCTGTGCAAATCGATCCTTTGGTCAGCAGTAGCTGGTTGTTTGTAGGCGTGGGGTGCCAGAATACACTCGCTCTCTACCATGTGAAGGTTTATCTACTAGTAATAGAATTAGGCCTGAAATATATAAATCTTGCATTTCTTTTCTTTTTCTTGGATAATAAAAGTATAGATAGAAGAATAAAAGTAGCATTTGATGATAAAAAGTACGTCTCTTTCAAAAATTCATAAATCCATTCTAAAATTTTCCATCTATCCTTCCTCAACCTATCACATTTTTAACTCTTTTATAGACATGTCTTTATCCTAGAACACTTGTAGCAACCCAACAATATTTCAGTCATTTTTATATCTATATCTTCTTTCCTATAACATTAACCAAACAAACCTAATAAAAATTCCCTTATAACACCTATTAGATGCTTGATTCGGTAATAGATTCTTTGGAATGAATGGCATTTCTCTTTCAATTTTTGTTTGAGATTTTCAAAAGAGGCATGTAAATTTAGTTTTGAAGCAGAGCGTAACAGCGTGGCTCGAATGATTAAAGCTTGAAAAGTTACACTATACAGGCGCATGGACTATTCATTTTCCTGCACATTCAAAAGCTGTCCTAAAACAGGTGAAAACATGCCGTTTGAAAATTGAGATTGGACAGCTTCTGTTTGTCTTCAACTTTATAGAAATAGACAGTTGAGGGAACTGCTCCCGAATCTACTCGAAGGAATTACTCCCGAATCTACTCACTTTCTTCTTTCTTATTGGCAGCAACCTTGAATGGTTCACTCACACAAAGAGATTGCTCATTCAGACTTACAAGGACACCATGTTTGACAACTCTATACAGCATATAATGCTTGATTCGGCCATCAGCGTATCCATGATCTAAAATCCCCCTCAGGAGCTCTCAGTCTTGTCACTGACCACATAACGGTTCTCTTTACAACTCAAACCTGATGAATGAAGCTGCTTTCGCTTCTTTACAAGCTGTAATGCACCGTGTCTGTCATCTTGAGCTTCCTTAGAATCAGGCTGCAGACAGAGCATTTCAAAAACTTGAGTGTGCAAATATTATACAGACATGAAAATGGTTACGGTCAACCTCTAGAAGCTAAATTATGTTTATAGGAATGCCACATGTCATGGGAGTACTAAACTGAGACCTTACCATAAAGCAGTCTCACAGTGGCAAAAGTGAAAGAAGCAAATGATGAAAAAATACTTAAGTTGGATGTTAGGAACAATCATCATGTTTCTATTTATGTAAAACAGTGAGACGACAAGTTTGCCACACAATCCTACTACTGTTCAACTCAATGAATGGGATGGGTGGAAAAATAAGAACTCACTCAAGCTTCTACATTCGAAGTTGAGATACTTTTCCAACACAAGCAAATTGCCAAGATATAAGAAAAATCGACATTATATAATTTCAGTAACCTAAGCCCATGTTAAGAATTCCAATAATCTTTAGCCAGGGAAAATTCTTGTTTTCACCTTTGGATATCAGTTAGTACCCATCAATCTATATTATGTTGAAAGCTCAGACAAACAGTGATCCTAAAACAGAAAGGTCAAGCCTCCAAAACACGAGTTTTTACCTTAATGGCTAATGCTTTATCAAAGCTTTCAATTGCGCTGTCAGGCTCCCCAAAGTTCAACTGTGCTCTGCCAAGGGTTATCCATGCCTAAGAAGGCCACGGCAAAGAAAAAAGTGAGAATAATTTTAACAAACTTTAAAGGACTGTTTTTTTGAGTTAACTAGACTTGCACCAAGAGTTTCTTTTAGTTATAACTAGAATTGCACTAGGAAATAGATAAAGTGATTTATGAAACTATATTTCATGAATGCCATGCTACACCACTAACTGTAACTGTAACTGTAACTGCAATTTAGCAAAATCAGCCACATCTGCCAATTGGTTGACATTCCAAGTGAGACAAGTTCCACTACTACCTGACTTGTTTATAGCAAAGGAAGCACTACATTTAGGTGGGAGGGAAACAGAATTTACTTGTACATTACAAGAAAAAGGACAGATGGAGGAAAATTTCCAAGGAGAAATAAAAGCAGAGACAAGGAGGAGTCAACAGTCCAGGAATCTCAGACATAAAATTGCATGTATGGCAAACTGGGGTAAAATATACGAAGCAGTGAAATATTCAACAAACAAGTTCATTGAAAGGGCTAGTTTAACTAGGGTGAATTAGATGGCACCGTAATAGCATCCTACAAAACATGAAAGCAGAATAGCAACCACATTGTAGAGTATGCCATGGTCATACCTCCGCCCATGACGATTCCAACTCAGTTGCTCCTGTCAATAAATTCCAAAGTAAATTGAGGTTCCTGGGACTTTATATTTTCAGAAAAATGCAAAATACAACATATATTTGTAGAACAATCAGGGCAATAAACACAGGTTGATATTCATGAATGAGAGATGAAAAGGCATGGAACTCACTAGTTGCTGCCTTCAATGCACTCCAGGGATCTCCAATTTCAAGCAAAACCTGTGCCTTTTGCTCATGTAAGACTGCATTTCCAGGCATCAAATTAAGAGCAGCCTCCCATTTCCCAAGTGCCTCACGATATTTTCCATCCTTCAAAGAGATAGCAAATCAAAAAACATATTCCAGCTGTTGCATAAAATGTCATCATGTACTTAAGCAAAGCATAGAATAAACTCGAGCCTGTGCTTCCAAATAGAGTTTCTTCTTCAATTTGTATTATACCGAAACAGATGCTAGAAAACAGACACCACACACACACATCAGAGACATGCTATCAACAGAAATAGAAACGAGATAATTCAACAACTTGGCATAACTGCAGAAAATACAGCAGAAGGAATCGGAAAAAACCGGTAGATGAGCATCAAGTAATGCAGTAAACGTTCCTTACCATGAACAAGCAAATCATAAGGACTCCTCACTGCCATTCCAAATAAGTAAACAGTGATATCAAAAAGTTCCACACAACCCACATATGCTGCATACGCAATATGTCCGGAAAACCACAAATTTCAAATCTTTTGTAACATAAACACTGAAATATCACAAAAAAATTCAATAATAGCATAAGTTCCGCAATAATATTGTCAAATTTGCACTTCTCAGGGAAAGAAAGAAAGAAAGAAGAAGAAGAAGAATTAGGGAGAGAGGGAAATACCTCGGCTAGCTTGTTGCCTAAGTCTTGGAAAGAGTCGGCGAGTTGTCTATTGGATGCTTCTGAATCCAAGGACTTGTGAGGGGCACCCAGTTGCTTGGTATCGCTATTCTTGTCTTCGTCGTCGTTGTGGAGCATATCTTGTTGATCAAAAGGGAGGTTTGGGTACTTCGATATGGCTGCTAAAGGTCGCTTCTTGCTCTCCTTCTTCCATGTTACTTTCATCTCTCTGATATTTTTTTTTGGTTGTTGTTGTTGCTGCTGCTTTCGATTTTCTAACAGGACAGGAGAGGAAAATACACGACTGAGCTTTGCCTGGGTTTTGTCGGTTAAATTGGGATTCCTGTTCATGTAGTCAAATGCTAAAGCCCATTATAAATGGCCAGACTTTGGCCCAAATGAAGACAGGCTTGAAAGTAACTCATTACTGCCCGGAAGAATCATGAGAAGGCCCACCATAATGTACAAAGGATAAGAAAGCCTTTGAAAAAAATAAGGATTTTTCACGTTTTCCCCTTTTCTTTTCTTTTTTGAGAAGGGAAAGAGTTGGGAGCAGGAATTATAAATTCTTGATAGAATCTTTTTTCTCCCCTCAAATAGTAGCAAAGGAATGAATTTATTTTAAGATAGAATGGCGGCATAACTCATAAGGAATTCATTTAATTGTTTGTTTATTTCGAGTTTTATTTAGCAGGGAGAAGGAGGCTCTTGGCTGGCTGGGAGGCCGGCCAACTTGTACAAAATTATTATTGTAAATCAATTTTCATGCTCTCCTTGTCTCCCTCTCTGTTTTCGATAATTGATCAAGCTCTTGCTCAGCAACTCAAACTTCTCCTACTATGCAGGCCTAAACCAAAAAAAAATAAAAATACAAGGACCACAGACTTTGGAATGAGGACTGATTTGTAATAAAAATAAAAAAGGACCAAGATGAACTTTTTAAAGAGTAAGAACTGAAAACTAATCATAAACATTAAAAATTCGAAAAAAAAAATAGTTCTATGACACCACGTGTTTCGTCATGTTACTAGTTACATCATAACCAAAATGCCGGATTATTAAAAACAACACACTGCCATATTCGACTTCGGTCCCACTTTATTTCAAGCAACATGGCAGAAAACAATTGGCAATTGAGCCAAGTTGCTGTCGGAAAAAACCGAGCTTTGAGGGCCTACTTAATATGGTATTATTTAGTACTATTATATTATATTATATTATATTATATTATATTATATTATATTGTGAAGCGTGATTCTCATGCTGGAATAGAAGAACACAGCAACAAAGTTAACAAACTCTTTATCTTCCCATCTTCTATTCATACGACAACGTTAGCTGACCACGTGTTGCTTTTGAAATTAAAGGATAACGATCCCATTTTCCTTTTCTCTTTCTAGATCATTTTTTTTTCTCCTTTCTCTGCTGACTAAACTCTTGTCCAGCTTCTCTTTCAATAGAACCCTAACTTATATGTGGTTCGCATGCTTGTTCCAGCGGCATCCTCTCTCTCTCTCTCTCTCTCTCATTTTGATTGTTTTTTCAACCTTATACTATGGAGGGTCATTCACGTTAGCTTGATGTTAGGCTGATAAAGAGCCAAAATTATTGTGTCTTAATATGTGATGCTGTCTTCAAAAAGTAACATTGGAATAAAGCTAATGAATTAAATAATTAGTTAATTAATTAGTTTTAATAATTTTATTTATTTTTTATAATTAAGATAATTGATAATTTATACTTAATACTTGATAGTTCAAGGTGACTTGTGGCTAGTACCTGCAAAAAAAATCATCTCTAGTGAAGATAGAGACCATTCAATACTTAAATAAGTATCTTTTTTAAAGAGAAAAAATACAATAATATTATTAAAAAAAAAAGAATAAAGATTATAAACTTTTCTTCCGAAGATCTCACAGTGTATTTATAACCTACTAATCTTGTCCTTTTATGAAGATGAGGGATTACAGTGTAATTTTACTTTTATGATAATTTAAGTTGTGTTGTGAATTCTATTCCACTTATTTTATCTAACTAAAAAATAGAGACATAAAGAATCATGAAAGACTTTAATACACCAAATGATGTTGGCGGAGTATAGACTTGTTTAACTAAGTCTATTGTTGAGAAATAAATTCTCTAAGTTTTTATGTAAAAATCTGTAGAATTGATGGGTTAGATTCATGTATTATGTTTGAATCTATGGGTGTAGCGAATTCGATTATGCCCGGGCTGTGATGACAAAAATTCTTGGGCTCAACACTTTAAAAAAACACATGTGAAGCCCACCTCATTGACCTAAGCATCAAGCTGGGCTTGACAACACCTGCCAGACCTAAAAGTTGGGCCTAAAAGGTGCTAGAAATAGATGGTGCTTGGGTTTGACTGGAACAAGACTCATGTTATGTTTGGACTGAGCACACTGTCAATCTCATTTGTGGCAAGATTTAGAGCTAGCTAGACCTAATCAACAACTGGGTCTGGCTTTGGTCATATTCAATATGCCTCTACTAATATATATTGTGTTTTTGTATCGCTGCATACCAGTTCAATGCATTCAAGAATTCAAAAAAATTATACTTATATTTTTTTCTTAATTTAAATTATTTTAGGTAAAGAAATATAAAGATATACTGATAAAATCTTAGTTCACTAGTACCCCCTTATCTTTGCAATATAATAATATGCAAAGACATTAATTAATAAGTTTTGGTAGTATAAAAAAAATATTTAATCCAAAAAAAATGTTAAAAAATATACATCTAGACTGAAAGAAATTCGTTAGACATATAATACCAAGAATCTATACTCAGAAAAATCATAAAGAGATTCCCAAATAGTTATGTGGAATCAACGAGGTTGAGCCTTCACCTTGGAAATTTCTAGAATGGAGTGTGGGAGCCTCTAGCTTTTCCAGCATTATTATGGGTTTTAACAGCCTTCTACTAAAGAATAGACATCATAATTTTTATTTTTATTTTTATTTTTTTTATTTAGGACATGAGAGTCCCCATTAAAAAATAGTGATTGGATGATGTTATTATTGTACTAGGAAAACCAGATTCATCCCTTGAAGAGTGAGGTTATTGTCTTAGAAAAATAAAGCTGTGCAAATGGCACTGGGAGATAAGTTTATCCCATGGTATTTTGAGAGATTGTTGCCTTTAGAGAGACTGAGTCAATCCCTTGATGAGTTGTGTATATAACACTGAGAAGAACATGTTTGTTCTTTGGAGAATGGTGCATATAACATGGAGGAGACCAAGTTTATCCCTTAAAGAATGATGCATATATCATCAAGAAGACCATATTCATATATTGAAGAATGATGCATTTAGCATTGGAAAGATCAAGTTCATACCTTAAATAGTGATGCATATAGCATTTACGAGACCAAGTTCATCACTTAAAGAGTGGTGCATATAATATAGAGGAGACCAAGTTCATTCCTTTCCTATGAGAATACACATTCCTCGGATTAATGTTGAAGGGCTTTCAATAATTACCTGGAAAGAATAAAAATTCATTTGAAATAAGTCATTTATATTAAAAAAAACTTATATTCTTATTAAGAATTATACATCATGAGATGATCTGGGTGATAGGTATGGAGGAGGTTATTAAAAAAAAAAAATGTTTTAGAGACGTCACTAAAATGTTTGCTTTGACTACCTTAATTACTTTACTTGGAAGGTCATTCATAATTCAAATTGTATGTGATTTTTCATGAATTGATTCACTTCAAATAAAGCTTTTATCTAATATGGCATAAAGTTTTATTTAAAGAGCATGTTCTCTTACTCCTCTTATTCAGGCTTTTAACGCTATTGGCTCAAGTAATTCTTCAACCTCGAGAATCTTCTTATTGAACCTCCTCAAATATCCTAGTGTGGTCTCGCCCTCTTATTGGGCAACACTAAAAAGCTCTATAGAGTTTTTATCGGCAAATACACTAGTGCTAAAACGTGCCACTAGTTTGACGCAGAGGTTGCTAAATCCTTTAGTTGAGTTTAGTTTCAAGTTATTATATAAGACACACATAAACCCTTTAAAGTTTGTAGGGAATATCTTGTACATCGAGTTATGATCTTAGTTGATCGACTATAAATACAAAGCTAAATTCATTAAAAAGATTATTTGAAGGGATATGGTTGTCTCATAAATGAATAATTTGAAATTCACATGTTTTTTACCTCAAAACTAGCCCGCAACCTCTTAATAAAATTCAACAGCATACCTGGCAGATGGAAAAAAGAAGTTCCTTACCTTAAGAGGACACAACCAAGATATAAATCCTATTTATAATAGAAATACATTAATTAATTTCATCAAAAATATTTCATAAGAGTAATATGGTGAATTAGAAATTCTAGAACTTTCTCATCTTAGTTTATATTTAGCTATTTAATTTAGTTTTTGTTAGTTTATAAAATGACAAATCATTCTTATTCAATTCATCAAACAAATATTGATTAATAAATTTTAGTACTTATTGATAATTTTTCAATTCCTGTAAGACAATACTCTTACTCATTTATTTTATTACTTGTTACAATTCATGCGCTTACGATTCCAACCAATATTAACCTCTAAAACTTGTAGCAATTGAAATTTTAAACTCGAGTTCAATAGAGAAACTCGATTCTCAACTAATGTAATGTTAAATGATAAAATCAAAAAAATAATAACAATTTAAAAAGTTTTTTAGCGTAAAAATAGTAATAAAAAGAACAAGAATCAAATTTGATAGGGCAAAAGAAAATCAATAATGATAAAATTATAAAAAAAATCAATTTAAAAAGGTATTTCAAACAAAAAAAATAGTAATCAAAAGAATATAAATCAAATTAAAAGATTTAAAAAATAAAGCAGGATGAAATTGAAAAGGAATTCTAATTTTATAAATTATTTTAAATATTGAAGAATAAAATTTTTAAAAAATCAATATAAAAAATTAGAATAGAGCTTAAAAAAATATAATGGTGGCTTAAATTGTTTTAAAAAATATTAACTAAAAAATATAATTTTGTATATTTATATTTCCTCTACAATCTTGTATGCATTAATTGTCTGTGATAGATTGCAATCATGCTTCTTCAATCTTTTGAAGTCAAATTCAGATAATCCTCAGGGGAGAATTAATTTCCTTCCACAAATCTTTTTCCAACCAACTATTTTAGCTGAAAAATAATCATGACTTCTAACATTTATTTTTTGATAGTACAATATTTTTTTTTTAGAATGACAGATTTAATGAATCTCATCATAAGACAAAGTAACATGAATGACGATGTTATCTGATTGAAAAATCAACT